TGTGCTGGTAGTGGAGGAACACAGACCAGACCTCAACTGATCGTTCCACTCTCTTGTACTTGTAGCAAGATACAGTTTACCAGATCCTGTTGACCAGCAGGCTCTCATTAGACAAGTGAGTATGGTACAGAAATCATCATTGGACATAGCCTAAATACATGTATGAAAGACAAATACATTAATAAAATATACATGTCATGTACATGTATAAATACTGGCTCATGCAGTACAATTTTAGACCTAGAAATAAGTTTTGGAGACAAATCTAATTTAAAATGGGAGACTTAAGCCTAGACCAAAAACGAGAAACTGTCTCCTATATGTACATGTACAGGTGTGTGCAAGTATGCATGTACATGTACATTGTATATCCACTTTAATACTTAATGTAAAACAAATGCAATGAAAGCTAATGATGGCAATCTTTAAATTAGTGCTATTACATTACAATTTACTAGGTATGAGAATAAAGACTTGTTTCCCCCCTATAAAGAAATGAATTTATCTGGATCTACACCTCTAGTGACTTCAACTTTAGCCACCCCCACCGACAGGAAGTAACATGGCAGGACGCAAAAATGAAAGCTCATATCTCAGTAAATTTTTTTTAGATAATGGGAGTTGGAACACATCATTAGCAAACATATTAAGTCAATCAAATAAATATCCCAAAAATACATTAAACTTACCCTTTAAGTCAGTGGTGATCATGCAGTCTGATCACAGAAAAACAAATGTATGTGCACATACTTGCCAGCAACATAAAGTAGCATATACATTGTACAAGTAGTCAAGTAATGGGCGATTGATTATCAGTTAACATACAAGTGCAAAACAAATGTAATGCATAACATTATAATTATTATGCTAATATTTCTTGATCAATATTACAATAACTTACAATTTCCACTAATGAGAAGACAAACACTTTAAAGTTAATGAGCTGAACAACTGAACTGTACCTTAGAAGGAAAGAGAGAGAGAAAGAGAAGAAAGAGTGAGAGTAAGACAAGACAATTACTCTAAAACAACACCCTCAAATAAGCAAAATGTGTGAGTAAACAAAATTAATATGATAATCAATCAAGCGCAATTGTACAGATACAAAATCTCACTAGCTCCAAATAAAATTAATAACAATACATTACAATGATATTAATGTATAACGTGATCAAAAACAAAGACAGTTGAGTAGTCGGGGTGTCATACAGGGGGGATGGAAAAGAGGAAAATTCCTCCTACTCTAAGTTTCCCACACTAAAATAGTCTGTGTAAATTTAATAAATGCAGTGGCTATAGGTCTGGTAACTGGATTTGTCTGGCAGAACTATATGTCCGGCAGTGGGCATGTAGAGTCTTCGCCCTATATAGTGTACTGGGGCTTCAATCAAGTATAGATATGACAATCAGCGATGATCAAGCGCAGGATTGTGGTGGCACAGTGGGGAAGGTGCCGGGATGGATCTGGATGCAGGGACTTGTTTGAATCAAGCTAAAATCTCGGAAAAATTCCTGCTGTTTTTTAACTTCTAAAATCACCTTTTATATTATCTTAGGAGTCCCCTAGTTAGCTATGTCCCCTAGTTATTTTAGGAGTCTCCTACATGTAGTTAGTTATTGTTTCTAGGGTTTAGGGATTAGGGTGGCAGTTTTTTAGAGTGCCCCTAGTAATACTGTATACACCATATATTTCGTGTGTATAAAATTTCCCGATTTGGCTGCATTTCTGTATTTGCAAATAATAATTTCGCGATTTTAATGTAATTACTACACCTACTATATAATCAATACACTATTTTGTGGATTTAATTTCACAAATTTTTTTCAAAATGTGAAAATCGCGAAATTTAATCCCCACAAAATATAATGGCGTATACAGCATTAGGACTCCCCCTAGTTATGTTATGAGTCCCCAAGGTTGGTTTAGAGTTTTTTATTTCAGAGCGTCCCCTAGGTTTTAGAAGTTCCTCATTAACTTAGAAGCCCATGATAAAAACTAAGTTTAATTTTGCATCAATGCACATGCACACAAGGTTATTTTATGGAGATAAACGGACTGCCAGACATATAGTTCTGCCAGACAAATCCAGTTACCGGACCTACATGTATAGCCACTGGCCCACTGCTTATAATAAATGGGTTCATACTCGCTATAATTCACTGTTGTTCATTACACAAATTAACCTAAACGTGTACACCTCTACCGGCAAAACCAAATTTTGTTTTATCAAAAATAAAATCCCCAAATATTATGTGGTGTCACCATTAATTTTCGTCATGTCCCCCCAATGACAAAATCCTGCATGAATCCTAGTCTCATGCAGCCAGACGCTCCAGTCTCCACCCCTTTTTGACTTTTGGCAATTGGACAGCGGGGGTCCAAAAGTCAAAAAGGGGTGGAGAGTCTGGCCGTGCGAGACTATATGAATATCTCGAGGGGCCCGCAATTAAGAAAAATCTCGTACACTTCCTAAATAATCCAAAAAATCCAGTAGAAAATCCAATAATCCAGCAAAAAATCCAATAATCCACAGAAATCCAATACACATACACAGAAATCCAATGCATTAAAAAAAAATTTAATACACAGGTCTGTGTATTAAATCTATGGTGCAGTACATCTATGGTTTACTTCACTTGAAGGGATCCGGTTAAAAAGGGCATTTAAACATATTTTTGGTCAAATTCCTTTTTTGCTGTAGTTGTGCTCTACAACCATTGGACTTTCTTGTAGTGCAAGAAGTTGCTCCAATTTTGTGTGGATTCAACAGTAGAGCAAATTTTATCCATGCTCCTCGCACACACCTCTCCAAGCCACTCCTTTTTGCAGGTGTGGTTTATAGACATGGCGGTAGCTAATGAGGCTGAGCTCTCTGTGGAAGAAGTTATGGAAGAAGCTACAGAAACGACTGGGAGTACTAAAGTTCAGGACAAAGTGGAAGTTACCACCAAAGGAAAAGGTCGAAAGCGAACAAGAAATCCCGACAAGTGGAAATCTAAATATGCTAGAAAAACAGGCCTAAGAAAGAATTCACCTAGAATCGAGTTAAGTCAAGATACTGAGTACTGCCATAAGAAATGCTTGAAGCAGTTTTCTACAGATCATTTAAATTGACTCAGAGAAATTTTGAGAGCCTTTACTACAATGAACAGAACCTATATCTGCATGCCTTAATTGGTAGACGAGAAACAAAGAAGAGTGTTGGTCATCCTCGGCAACCAAATCCAACGTCATTTCCATCTGGAAAGAAGGCTGGTCGTCCACCAGCAGAGGAGAGTTCTTACACTTTTATATATTATCTTCATGATGAAAAGAGTGAAAGTATGTTTAAAAGCCTTTTGTTTTGTTTTTGGGCAGAAGAGGTTACTTGTTTTGAAGCAAAAGATGAAATCTGCAATTGATGTTTGTATTGAGCTCGATAGACGTGGTAAACATGGAAATTGGCCACAGAAAGTACCTGAAGAAGTACGTGAACTTGTATGTAAGCATATTAAGACATTCCCAACTAGAAACAGTCACTACTCTCGTAAGGATAATCATGGACGAACATACTTATCTCCAGAATTATCAATAGCTCGGTTGTACAAAAACTTCTTGCAAATTCATGACCCAGAATATCTTTCTTTAGACGAAGCAAACTTGCAGAAGAAAATATCCCATCAGCCTTTGGAAACAATAAGAAAACCACTGGTATCTGAACACTTTTATCACGATGTATTTGTTAGTGAGTTTAATATATACTTTGGGTATCCAAGGACAGATACATGCTCTACATGTGATGGTCTAAGTGTCAAGATAGCAAGTGAATCTGATATTTCAAAAAAACAGGAGCTAAAAGAAGAACTAGAAGCTCATAAAACACTTGCTCAAGAAGGGTATGATGCTTTTCGTTTTGATCAACAGTTTGCTAGAGACTCTTGGAGTAAAGTACAATTTGACTCATAGTTATACTATACCTTATATTGTATGGTTATTATTGACTATAATTACTGTGTGTATAAGCACTACTTGCTCATTAATATTTTTGTTATTAATTCAAAAATTAGTATTAATGCAAAGTGTCAATTAATGTAAGGAAGAGATCAAGTGGTGGGTAAATATAAAACAATTATACATGTGTGCACATAATGGAAATACAATACAATGCTGTTACTTGTATATTGAGTCATCAGTCATCATCACTATCAACAGTACCATCATCAATAGTGGGTAAGTTAGCATAAAAGCCTTGCAGATGAGCTGGAACATATTTACTAGCAAGTTTAGACACATCCTCTGCTTTAGCTTTTCTTATAGGCAATGGATATTGCATATATAAAGCATTAAGAGTTGACAGTGGATGCTTCCCTCGTTTCTTGTAATATGATACGACTTGGGAGTCTCACTAATGTCATAGGAGTGTCTCACCCATACCTCAGAACGATGCTCAACTTCTATCACTGTACCATCAACAACTTTCTTGCCAGATCCAAAATTGAACCAAACAGCACTTTGGAAGTTCAAAGGATTCCTATTGGTCCGTTCTGTGTAGATGTGGTTAAGGTGCTGATAATAGTTTTTAAAAAAGGATTGTTGCATTTCTACAACATGAAGGC